ACTGTGCTGACAGGTGTGTCTTTATTGTTTCAGACAGTGCTGACAGGTGTGTCTTTATTGTTCCAGACAGTGCTGACAGGTGTGACTTTATTGTCTGAGACAGTGCTGACAGGTGTGTCTTTATTGTCCCAGACAGTGCTGACAGGTGTGTCTTTATTGTCCCAGACAGTGCTGACAGGTGTGTCTTTATTGTCCCAGACAGTGCTGACAGGTGTGTCTTTATTGTCCCAGACATTGCTGACAGGTGTGTCTTTATTGTCCCAGACAGTGCTGACAGGTGTGTCTTTATTGTCCCAGACAGTGCTGACAGGTGTGTCTTTATTGTTCCATTGCTCACAGGTGTGTCTTTATTGTCCTAGACAGTGCTCACAGGTGTGTCTTTATTGTTCCATTGCTCACAGGTGTGTCTTTATTGTTCCATTGCTCACAGGTGTGTCTTTATTGTTCCAGACAGTGCTCACAGGTGTGTCTTTATTGTTCCATTGCTCACAGGTGTGTCTTTATTGTTCCATTGCTCACAGGTGTGTCTTTATTGTTCCATGCTGACAGGTGTGTCTTTATTGTCCCAGACTGTGCTCACAGGTGTGTCTTTATTGTTCCATTGCTCACAGGTGTGTCTTTTTTGTTCCATTGCTCACAGGTGTGTCTTTATTGTTCCATTGCTCACAGGTGTGTCTTTATTGTTCCATTGCTGACAAGTGTGTTTTTATTGTCCCAGACAGTGCTGACAGGTGTGTCTTTATTGTCCCAGACAGTGCTGACAGGTGTGTCTTTATTGTCCCAGACAGTGTTCACAGGTGTGTCTTTATTGTCCCAGACAGTGCTGACAGGTGTGTCTTTATTGTCCCAGACTGTGCTGACAGGTGTGTCTTTATTGTTCCAGACAGTGCTCACAGATGTGTCTTCATTGTCCCAGTCTTCAAAGATTTGTCTGTATTGTTCCAGTGGTGACCTTGGTGTCTTTATTGTCCCAGTACTCACAGGTTTGTCTTTTTTTTCCTTGTGCTCACAGGTGTCTTTATTGTCTGAGACAGTGTTCACAGGTGTGTCTTTATTGTCTGAGACAGTGTTCACAGGTGTGTCTTTATTGTTCCAGACAGTGTTCACAGGTGTGTCTTTATTGTTCCAGACAGTGTTCACAGGTGTGTCTTTATTGTCTTAGACAGTGTTCACTGGTGTGTCTTTATTGTGCCAGACAGTGTTCACAGGTGTGTCTTTATTGTCTGAGAGAGTGTTCACAGGTGTGTCTTTATTGTTCCAGACAGTGCTGACAGGTGTGTCTTTATTGTCTGAGACAGTGTTCACAGGTGTGTCTTTATTGTCTGAGACAGTGTTCACAGGTGTGTCTTTATTGTCTGAGAGAGTGTTCACAGGTGTGTCTTTATTGTTCCAGACAGTGCTGACAGGTGTGTCTTTATTGTCTGAGACAGTTTTCACAGGTGTGTCTTTATTGTCTGAGACAGTGTTCACAGGTGTGTCTTTATTGTCTGAGACAGTGTTCACAGGTGTGTCTTTATTGTTCCAGACAGTGCTGACAGGTGTGACTTTATTGTCTGAGACAGTGTTCACAGGTGTGTCTTTATTGTCCCAGACAGTGCTGACAGGTGTGTCTTTATTGTTCCAGACAGTGTTCACAGGTGTGTCTTTATTGTCTGAGACAGTGTTCACATGTGTGTCTTTATTGTCCCAGACAGTGCTGACAGGTGTGTCTTTATTGTCCCAGACAGTGCTGACAGGTGTGTCTTTATTGTCCCAGACAGTGCTGACAGGTGTGTCTTTATTGTCCCAGACAGTGCTGACAGGTGTGACTTAATTGTCCCAGGGATCTCGCACAAACACAGACTGCAGCCAGCCACCAGGGATCTTATGCAAACAGAAACTGCGGTGATCTCCCAGGGATCACACACACACACTACAGCGATCCCCCTGGGATCTCACACAAGGAGTATTGTCTGGATTTTTTCGCCGGGGATGCCGGTGTGTTGGGAAATCAACAGGTGCACAGACTGGCTGGCTCTGCACATCTTGGTGGAATACTGATACATGATAACGCAGACGTCATTAGTTCCTTGTGGAAGAGCGTGTGCAGTTTGAAGGAGCAGATGGATCACCACTGTCTGGTTAGATTAATGCAAGAGGGAGTGACAAGAGGTTCTGGCAAATGCTCAAGGCTCAGAGGAAAGGCAAGACGGTCGTTTAATCAGAATGCTACTGGCACCATTAGTATCGGAACTGTTCGCTGGCTGCTTAAGATGGGACAGAGCGCTTTTGGGAATGCCCTGAAGGCTGTGATGTCGCTTCTTGAATCAAATCAAATCACACAAACACAGACTGCAGTGATCCACCAGAGATCTCATACAAACACAGACTTCTGAGATCTCCCAGGGATCTCACACAAACACAAACTGCAGTGATCCACCAGGGATCTCATACAAACATAGACTGTGGCGATCCACCAGGAATCTCACACAAACACATACTGCAGTGATCCACCAGAGATCTCACACAAACACAGACTGCAGTGATCCACCAGGGATCTCATACAAGCACAGACTACAGTGATCCACCAGAGACCTCATACAAACACAGACTTCTGAGATCTCTCAGGGATCTCATACAAACACAAACTGCAGTGATCCATTAGAGATCTCATACAAACACAGACTTCTGAGATCTCCCAGGGATCTCACACAAACACAAACTGCAGTGATCCACCAGGGATCTTATACAAACATAGACTGTGGCGATCCACCAGGGATCTCACACAAGCACAGACTGCAGTGATCCACCAGGGGATCTCACACAAACACAGACTGCAGTGATCCACCAGAGATCTCATACAAACACAGACTGCAGTGATCCACCAGAGATCTCATACAAACACAGACTGCAGTGTTCCAGAGATCTCATACAAACATAGACTACAGTGATCCACCAGAGATCTCATACAAACATAGACTGCAGTGATCCACCAGAGATCTCATACAAACACAGACTGCAGTGTTCCACCAGAGATCTCACACAAACACAGACTTAAGTGATCCACCAGAGATCTCACACAAACACAGACTGCAGTGTTCCACCAGAGATCTCACACAAACACAGACTGCAGTGATCCACCAGAGATCTCATACAAGCACAGACTACAGTGATCCACCAGAGATCTCATACAAACACAGACTGCAGTGATCCACCAGAGATCTCATACAAACACAGACTGCAGTGATCCACCAGAGATCTCACACAAACACAGACTGCAGTGTTCCACCAGAGATCTCATAAAAACACAGACTGCAGTGATCCACCAGAGATCTCACACAAACACAAACTGCAGTGATCCACCAGAGATCTCATACAAACACAGACTGCAGTGATCCACCTGAGATCTCACACAAACACAGACTGCAGTGTTCCACCAGAGATCTCATACAAACACAGACTGCAGTGATCCACCAGAGATCTCACACAAACACAAACTGCAGTGATCCACCAGAGATCTCACACAAACACAGACTGCAGTGATCCACCAGAGATCTCATACAAATACAGACTGCAGTGATCCACCAGAGATCTCATACAAACACAGACTGCAGTGATCCACCAGAGATCTCACACAAACACAAACTGCAGTGATCCACCAGAGATCTCATACAAACACAGACTACAGTGATCCACCAGAGATCTCATACAAACACAGACTGCAGTGATCCACCAGAGATCTCATACAAACACAGACTGCAGTGATCCACCAGGGATCTCATACAAACACAGACTGTGGCGATCCACCAGGGATCTCATACAAACACAGACTGCATTGATCCACCAGGGATCTCATACAAACACAGACTGCAGTGATCCACCAGAGATCTCATACAAACACAGACTGCAGTGATCCACCAGAGATCTCATACAAACACAGACTGCAGTGATCCACCAGGGATCTCATACAAAGACAGACTGCAGTGATCCACCAGGGATCTCATACAAACACAGACTGCAGTGATCCACCAGAGATCTCATACAAACACAGACTGCAGTGATCCACCAGAGATCTCATACAAACACAGACTGCAGTGATCCATCAGAGATCTCATACAAACACAGACTGCAGTGATCCACCAGAGATCTCATACAAACACAGACTGCAGTGATCCATCAGAGATCTCATACAAACACAGACTGCAGTGATCCACCAGAGATCTCATACAAACACAGACTGCAGTGATCCACCAGAGATCTCATACAAACACAGACTGCAGTGATCCACCAGAGATCTCACACAAACACAGACTGCAGTGATCCACCAGAGATCTCATACAAACACAGACTGCAGTGATCCACCAGAGATCTCATACAAACACAGACTGCAGTGATCCACCAGAGATCTCACACAAACACAGACTGCAGTGATCCACCAGAGATCTCATACAAACACAGACTGCAGTGATCCACCAGAGATCTCATACAAACACAGACTGCAGTGATCCACCAGGGATCTCACACAAGCACAGACTGCAGTGTTCCACCAGAGATCTCATACAAACACAGACTGCAGTGATAATATAGGGCTGGGTGAGTGGGGAAGGGGGGGGGGGGGGATATGAAGTGCCATCCAGGAACAGACACAGGTGTTACTTGATTGTCCTGTTGTTGTTGTCTGTAGTGTGGGGAGAGTGGGGCTGTGAGTAGAGCTTTCACCTGCTGCTGGCATGTCAACAACAAGTGAGATTCACTGAGTTCATGACTTGACTTTGACCTTAACCCACCCAGTATCTGAGCACAGTTGATCAGCCAGCTGACCAGTTGTGACCACATGTTGACAGTTGTTCAGCCAGCCGACCAGTTGTGACCACATGTTGACAGTTGATCACTGTATGCTAGCAAAATCACTTGTACATTTCAGAAATACCCAGATCAGCAGAAGCCATAGCTCTAACCAAACTCCTGCTCTCAAGCGGCCAAAGTTAACTTCATTGTCCTCAACTCCTGACAGAAGTAGAATGGTTCGTGTCAAGGAGTGTCAGTCAAACACTTCTTCAGCACAGGCTGAGGTCATGCCAAGAAATAACTTCCTGCAGGTGCTAGGCCCTCCCAAACACAGTATGAAAGATGGGGAGACAGTTGGGTATGTACATGTTTCAACACACAGCAGATGTGCTGTCTTCACTATCTTCATGAACTCGCTGCCATAAGTCAAAGATCATCCATTCATTTTTGTATATTATCAGCAATTTGTCTCTAGTTACATAAATCTGTATCATATAAATGTTCTATATTTGTACACATGCATTGTCTCTAGTTACATATATCTGTATCATATAAATGTTCTATATTTGTACACATGCATTGTCTCTAGTTACATATATCTGTATCATATTAATGTTCTCTATTTGTACACAGGCACTGTCTCTAGTCACATATATCTTGTATCATATAAAAAATCTAGACATATCTCTTCTCTCATGCAGTAAGAAAATCTAGACATTTATTTCTTGTCTCATACATGCGAGAAAATCTAGACATTTATAGTTTGCCTCATACAGATGAGAAAATCTAGACATTTATAGTTTGCCTCATACAGATGAGAAAATCTAGACATTTATATCGGCTCTCCTCCGAATAACGGTCCTAAATTATCTACACAGAAAGTAAACCCTCATTACGTTATGCCCTACAAAGATTTAAAAGTTGTAACACGGAAAATATTTCAAAGGAAAATTATGAGGAAAACAGCTAAGTCTACCACTTACCGATAATTAAATCTCTTATATGTGAAAATTGTGGCACAGAAGTTGCAAATAGTGCCCGAATATCTGTTCTTTCTCGCAGTGCCGGCATTGGAACTCCGCCAAATACGTGGTCGTAAATGTCATGTTAACTTCCCAACGTTTCTGTAGACTCGCCAAGCGTCAGTCACAATTCTCGTTCCGGGCAACACGTGATCAGCAATTACGCGTTCTAATCTATGCGCATCTCGCCTTGGGGCAACTTCAAACCAGCAACGGCCACTATGGCGCTCCACTAGCCCGACCACCCAGTGACGGTGGCGAATGCGACATTGCTGGTACTTGCGGAAGAAGTAGCTCATGTAAATTGTAAGACTTTTTACCCGGAGACTATAGTGCCACCTCCGAGAGTATCCCCCACGCCGCGCATAGCTAAACTAGATGGCTAGGACTCACGAGCAAATACAATGGAGGAAGCTGCAGGAGAAGCGGTAGCTATTACTCGTGAGTCCCAGCCGTCTAGTTTAGCCCCTTCCCCTACGCGCGGCGCGGGGGATACTCTCGGAGGTGGCACTATAGTCCGCCAAAAGTGATCCGCAACTTACATATAACTGAGGCCCTGCCGTAGGATAGCCCTATCGGGTGTAATCTTGCGTTTCGCTAATTTTCCCTCCCTAGTTAATCCTAGTTATCGTAGTAAAAAAAAAACGTTTCGCTAAATGTCGTGCGCAATTAATCCTACTTTTGACGCGGTTGATTTGCGCAAAAGAAATGCGATTTTAGATATGGCTGAGGCTTTGTTAGGGTTTACTTTCTGCGTAGATAATTTATGACCGTTATTCGGAGCTTTTAAATCTTGTCTCATACAGGTGAAAAAATCTTAGACATTTAAATCTTGTCTCATACAGTAAGAAAATCTAGACATTTATTTCTTGTCTCATATAGACGAGAAAATCTAGACATTTATAGCTTGCCACATACAGGTAGAAAATCTAGACATTTATAACTTGTATCATACAGGTGAGAAAATCTAGACATTTTTATCTTGTCTCATACAGGTTTGAAAATCTAAATATTTATATCTTGTCTTATACAGGTTTGAAAATTTAAATATTTATATCTTCTCTTATACAGGTTTGAAAATCTAAATATTTATATCTTGTCTTATACAGGTTTGAAAATCTAAATATTTATATCTTGTCATACAGGTTTGAAAATCTATACGTTTATATCTTGTCTTATACAGGTTTGAAAATCTATACGTTTATATCTTGTCTTATACAGGTTTGAAAATCTATACGTTTATATCTTGTCTTATACAGGTTTGAAAATCTATACGTTTATATCTTGTCTTATACAGGTTTGAAAATCTATACGTTTATATCTTGTCTTATACAGGTTTGAAAATCTATACGTTTATATCTTGTCTTATACAGGTTTGAAAATCTCGGCAACACATGTTTCCTGAATGCTCCATTGCAGTGTTTATCAGCTTTGGAGCCACTGACTCTGGACATTCAGTCGGCTGTAGACCAGTATGGGAAGGAGATCACACCCGACTCTCTGACAAGGTAATCAGTGGTCAGGTGTCAGTGTATGCCAGTTTGTCTACGACAAGTCAGCAATGCCACCAGTCATTTGCCAGCTTGATGGATTGGAGAGTAAACATTTGTGTGGTGCCAGAGTTGGAGAGTGAACATTTGTGTTGTGCCAGAGTTGGAGAGTGAACATTTGTGTTGTGCCAGAGTTGGAGTGTGAACATTTGTGTTGTGCCAGAGTTGGAGTGTGAACATTTGTGTTGTGCCAGAGTTGGAGAGTGAACATTTGTGTTGTGCAAGAGTTGGAGTGTGAACATTTGTGTTGTGCCAGAGTTGGAGTGTGAACATTTGTGTCGTACTAGAGTTGGAGTGTGAACATTTGTGTGGCACCAGAGTTGGAGTGTGAACATCTGTGTGGTGCCAGAGTTGGAGTGGGAACATCTGTGTGGTGCCAGAGTTGGAGAGTTAACATTTGTGTGGTGCCAGAGTTGGAGTGTGAACATTTGTGTGGTACCAGAGTTGGAGTGTGAACATTTGTGTGGTACCAGAGTTGGAGTGTGAACATCTGTGTGGTACCAGAGTTGGAGTGTGAACATTTGTGTGGTACCAGAGTTGGAGTGTGAACATTTGTGTGTTACCAGAGTTGGAGTGGGAACATCTGTGTGGTACCAGAGTTGGAGTGTGAACATTTGTGTGGTGCCAGAGTTGGAGTGTGAACATCTGTGTGGTACCAGAGTTGGAGTAAACATTTGTGTGGTGCCAGAGTTGGAGTGTGAACATTTGTATGGTACCAGAGTTGGAGTGTGAACATCTGTGTGGTACCAGAGTTGGAGTGTGGACATCTGTTTGGTACCAGAGCTGGAGTGTGAAAATTTTCGTTGTGCCAGAGTTGGAGAGTGAACATTTGTGTGGTGCCAGAGTTGGAGAGTGAACATTTGTGTTGTGGCAGAGTTTGAGTGTGAACATTTTTGTGGTGCCAGAATTGAATGAACATTTGTGTGATGCCAGAATTGACAACATTTGTGTGATGCCAGTGTTAAGTTAAAATGTTTGTGATGCCAGAGTTAAGTGAACATTTTTGTGGTGCCAGAGTTGACAACATTTGTGTGATGCCAGAATTGACAACATTTGTGTGATGCCAGAATTGACAACATTTGTGTGATGCCAGAGTTGAGTTAACATTTATGTGATGCCAGAGCTGAGTGAACATTTATGTGCAATCTTCTACAGAAAATTGTACGTGCTGATGAAGGATGTGAGAAGACATCACGTGTGCCCTGAGCATATTAAAGAGCTCTTGATCAAGCTTCGATTGGACATGAATTTCAAGTTTACTCCCAACACACAGCAGGTTGGTACCTGTGCTCTACACATCTTTATTTCAATGTGAAAATGTCCCCAACAGCTTTTCTAGGACATCCGATCTCTTGTTATTCCCACAGCTCTTCTAGGACATCTGATCTCTTGTTATTCTCACAGCTCTTCTAGGACATCTATCTCATGTTGCTCTGACAGCTCTTCTAGGACATCTATCTCATGTTGCTCTGACAGCTCTTCTAGGACATCTATCTCATGTTGCTCTGACAGCTCTTCTAGGACATCTATCTCATGTTGCTCTGACAGCTCTTCTAGGACATCTATCTCATGTTGCTCTGACAGCTCTTCTAGGACATCTATCTCATGTTGCTCTGACAGCTCTTCTATGACATCTGTCTCATGTTGCTCTGACAGCTCTTCTAGGACATCTGTCTCATGTTGCTCTGACAGCTCTTCTAGGACATCTGTCTCATGTTGCTCTGACAGCTCTTTTAGGGCATCTGTCTCATGTTGCTCTGACAGCTCTTCTAGGGCATCTATCTCATGTTGCTCTGACAGCTCTTTTAGGACATCTGTCTCATGTTGCTCTGACAGCTCTTCTAGGACATCTGTCTCATGTTGCTCTGACAGCTCTTTTAGGACATCTGTCTCATGTTGCTCTGACAACTCTTCTAGGACATCTATCTCATGTTGCTCTGACAGCTCTTCTAGGACATCTATCTCATGTTGCTCTGACAGCTCTTTTAGGACATCTGTCTCATGTTGCTCTGACAGCTCTTTTAGGACATCTGTCTCATGTTGCTCTGACAGCTCTTTTAGGACATCTGTCTCATGTTGCTCTGACAGCTCTTCTAGGACATCTATCTCATGTTGCTCTGACAGCTCTTCTAGGACATCTATCTCATGTTGCTCTGACAGCTCTTCTAGGACATCTGTCTCATGTTGCTCTGACAGCTCTTCTAGGACATCTATCTCATGTTGCTCTGACAGCTCTTCTAGGACATCTGTCTCATGTTGCTCTGACAGCTCTTCTAGGACATCTATCTCATGTTGCTCTGACAGCTCTTCTATGACATCTATCTCATGTTGCTCTGACAGCTCTTCTAGGACATCTATCTCATGTTGCTCTGACAGCTCTTCTAGGACATCTATCTCATGTTGCTCTGACAGCTCTTCTATGACATCTGTCTCATGTTGCTCTGACAGCTCTTCTAGGACATCTGTCTCATGTTGCTCTGACAGCTCTTCTAGGACATCTGTCTCATGTTGCTCTGACAGCTCTTTTAGGGCATCTGTCTCATGTTGCTCTGACAGCTCTTTTAGGGCATCTATCTCATGTTGCTCTGACAGCTCTTTTAGGACATCTGTCTCATGTTGCTCTGACAGCTCTTCTAGGACATCTGTCTCATGTTGCTCTGACAGCTCTTTTAGGACATCTGTCTCATGTTGCTCTGACAGCTCTTCTAGGACATCTGTCTCATGTTGCTCTGACAGCTCTTCTAGGACATCTATGTCATGTTGCTCTGACAGCTCTTCTAGGGCATCTGATCTCTTGTTGCTCTGACAGCTCTTCTAGGACATCTGATCTCTTGTTGCTCTGACAGCTCTTCTAGGACATCTGATCTCTTGTTGCTCTGACAGCTCTTCTAGGACATCTGATCTCTTGTTGCTCTGACAGCTCTTCTAGGACATCTATCTCATGTTGCTCTGACAGCTCTTCTAGGACATCTATGTCATGTTGCTCTGACAGCTCTTCTAGGACATCTTATCTCTTGTTGCTCTGACAGCTCTTCTAGGACATCTATCTCATGTTGCTCTGACAGCTCTTCTAGGACATCTATTTCATGTTGCTCTGACAGCTCTTCTAGGACATCTATCTCATGTTGCTCTGACAGCTCTTCTATGACATCTATCTCATGTTGCTCTGACAGCTCTTCTAGGACATCTATCTCATGTTGCTCTGACAGCTCTTCTAGGACATCTATCTCATGTTGCTCTGACAGCTCTTCTATGACATCTATCTCATGTTGCTCTGACAGCTCTTCTAGGACATCTATGTCATGTTGCTCTGACAGCTCTTCTAGGACATCTGATCTCTTGTTGCTCTGACAGCTCTTCTAGGACATCTGATCTCTTGTTGCTCTGACAGCTCTTCTAGGACATCTGATCTCTTGTTATTCCCACAGCTCTTCTAGGACATCTGTCTCATGTTGCTCTGACAGCTCTTCTGGGACATCTGATCTCTTGTTGCTCTGACAGCTCTTTTAGAACATCTGATCTCTTGTTATTCTTACAGCTCTTCTAGGACATCTGATCTCTTGTTATTCCCACAGCTCTTCTAGGACATCTGATCTCTTGTTATTCCCACAGCTCTTTTAGGACATCTGATCTCTTGTTATTCCCACAGCTCTTCTAGGACATCTGATCTCTTGTTATTCCCACAGCTCTTCTAGGACATCTGATCTCTTGTTATTCCCACAGCTCTTCTAGGACATCTGATCTCTTGTTATTCTTACAGCTCTTCTAGGACATCTGATCTCTTGTTATTCCCACAGCTCTTTTAGAACATCTTATCTCTTGTTATTCCCACAGCTCTTCTAGGACATCTATGTGTATGTATCTGTATGTGTGTGCTTAAGTAGGTACGTATGTATGTGTGTGTGTGTGTGTGTGTGTGTGTGTGTGTGTGTGTGTGTGCATGTTCGTATGTATGTGGATGTATGTATGTATAGGGTGCCTGTGCGAGTGAGTGTGCAAGTGAGTGGGTTTGCATGTGTATGTGGGTGTGTGTGTTCGTACGTTTTTGACTTGATATTCATAATAAGCATATTATTACATGAACACATGTTTATTGATGAAATATTCTGATTGCTTGCTATCTCGCATGGGCTTCTAAGTTGTTCTTGCAGTAAAGGTCTCAATCAGCGATTCCCAATCTTGTCTTAAAATCGGTGGGTCAGCAGATAGTTTGGAAGCCTCTTAAGCATTTCAAACTAAGTAAGGAATTTGTACTGTCTGTGAAATCCAGGTGGCTCCAAAACCATTTTTTTTAAATGAGTTGCTTCTCATTGCTGTGTGTGTTATTTGCAAGTCCTTATTGAGTCCCGGGGGTTTAGCATCAGAAACCCAAGGGGTGGTCATACAATGTTGAAAGGTCACAAGTGTAACACATGAAAATAGATTCAGCTGCTGTTACACATACACATATTGTACATCAAAGTGACCAGAGATTGAGGAATAATATTAGAATACTGTACACAAATAAATTGTGTCAGTAGTTAAGTTTTAGTCAATAAACACAAACACATGGTATGTTTTAGAGAAATTAGTAAAATGAAATGTTTCCACTTACCACCATGGCATTCAGTGGAAACTCAATAAAATGTACCAAAACTAAATCACAAATGAATAGGAACAAATGAGTAATGTATAAATAAAATATAAACATAATCTGTCCATTAGATCTCGTTTCAGAGAAACTTTTAGAACATCATAAGGGAATCGCACTAGACTGACTGGTACTGAAGAATATAGCCTTTGTTCTCAAGTAATAAGGGAATCACACTAGACTGACTGATACTGAAGAATATAGCCTTTGTTCTCAAGTAATAAGGGAATCGCACTAGACTGATACTGAAGAATATTGCCTTTGTTCTCAAGTAATAAGGGAATCGCACTAGACTGACTGATACTGAAGAATTTGGCCTTTGTTTTCATGTAATAAGGGAATCGCACTAGACTGATACTGAAGAATATTGCCTTTGTTCTCAAGTAATAAAGGAATCGCACTAGACTGACTGATACTGAAGAATATGGCCTTTGTTCACAAGTAATAAGGGAATCGCACTAGACTGATACTGAACAATATGGCCTTTGTTCACAAGTAATAAGGGAATCGCACTAGACTGACTGATACTGAAGAATATAGCCTTTGTTCTCAAGTAATAAGGGAATCGCACTAGACTGATACTGAAGAATTTGGCCTTTGTTCTCAAGTAATAAGGGAATCGCACTAGACTGACTGATACTGAAGAATATAGCCTTTGTTCACAAGTAATAAGGGAATCACACTAGACTGATACTGAAGAATATGGCCTTTGTTCACAAGTAATAAGGGAATCGCACTAGACTGACTGATACTGAAGAATATAGCCTTTGTTCTCAAGTAATAAGGGAATCGCACTAGACTAACTGATACTGAAGAATATGGCCTGCTTCACCAATATTTATATTTGTACTAGCCGACTTTATCTTTGTATAATTTGTTTGATGTATATATCAGAGCTATCCCTCATTAAAGTCTGCTTAGTAACCTTTTTTTGTCTAGCTTAGGTTGAATCTGATAAATGCATGTTTTATTAAAATATGAGGCTTCTAAAGTCATAAATCTTGTTGGCATGCATGAAGTCTGCTTGGAGACCATATTGTTTACACACACACACACACTGTGTAACTGGGTAAAGCTCACAGAAATGCTACATTTGATACTGTAATCCATGTTTTTGAATAAGCCTAATGGTCAGCACGTTCAACATCAAATACAAAAACAGGAAATACATTCAGAGATGCATTTTGTTTTGTTATACTGGCCAGTGATCAACTATTAATTTATTATTAAATAAGAATACAGTTATTATTAATTGCAACCTTCGTTTGCTGCTAAAGATTGTTTCGGAGCACTTATGGGAGTGTCCTGAGTGCCATAATGTCGATTCTTAATTCATCATTCAACATTGTAGTGTTTAGATGTACAGGTGAGCTAATGTATGGTCACATTGTGGTGTTTATATATACAGGTTTTATGTGTATTCATGGTTGCTACCTCATGTGTCTGGATGTATTATATCATCTACACATTGCTTGCAGGATGCGCATGAACTACTGTCAGAACTGCTGAACCGTGTCGATGAGGAAGTGAAAGCTGCCATGAGACTGCATTCGAGTAGACTTTCTGTGTCCACACGAGAATCTGCTGTCAGAGAGGCTCCAGATGCAGGGTCACAAGTGTCTCTACTGGACAAGCCTAGACTGGAACAATCTGCCCTGCCCATCCTGATGCCTACACCAACAGAGAGCAACTTTTGCTGGTCTTACAGAACCTGCATCTACTTCCACGAGTAAGTAGCCTGAAAGATGGCACTTCCAGGAATGATAGCCAGAAGTTGAACATTTGCTGTATAGTTCAGTTTCCTGTCATTGTTGGCCAGAAGTTGAACATTTTCTTTATAGTTCAGTTTCTTGTCATTGTTGGCCAGAAGTTGTACATTTGCTGTATAGTTCAGTTTCTTGTCATTGTTGGCCAGAAGTTGAACATTTTCTTTATAGTTCAGTTTCTTGTCATTGTTGGCCAGAAGTTGAACATTTGCTGTATAGTTCAGTTTCTTGTCATTGTTGGCCAGAAGTTGAACATTTGCTGTATAGTTCAGTTTCTTGTCATTGTTGGCCAGAAGTTGAACATTTGCTGTATAGTTCAGTTTCTTGTCATTGTTGGCCAGAAGTTGAACATTTGCTGTATAGTTCAGTTTCTTGTCATTGTTGGTTAGAAGTTGAACATTTGCTGTATAGTTCTGCTTCATGTTGTCATTGTTGACAATGTGGTTAGAGGTTAAACATTTGCTATATAGTTCTGTTTCATGTTGTTGTTGTTGGCTGGAAGTTACACATTTGCTGTATAGTTCTGTTTAATGTTGTCATTGTTGGCTAGAAGTTACACATTTGCTGTATAGTTCTGTTTTATGTTGTCGTCGTTGGCTATGAGGTTAGAGTTACAAATTTGTTGTATAATTCTGCTTCATGTTGTCATTGATGGCTAGAAGTTAGACATGTACTCTATGGCACATTATTGATGTTGTCATTGATTACTAGAAGTTGGACATTTACTCTATGGCACATTATTGATGTTATTGATTACTAGAAGCTAGACATGTACTTTATGGCACATTATTTTTGTAATTGATTACTAGAAGTTAGACATTTTCTTTATGGCACGTTATTGTCATTTATTACTAGAAGTTAGACATGTACTATAGCACAATATTATTGTCATTGATTACTAAAAGTTAGACATGTACTATAGCACAATATTATTGTCATTGATTACTAAAAGTTAGACATGTACTTTATGGCGCATTATTGATATTGTCATTGATTACTAGAAGTTAGACATTTACTCTATGGCACATTATTGATGTTGTCATTGATTACTAAAAGTTAGACATTTACTTTATGGCACATTATTGCTGTTGTCATTGATGGCTAAAAGTTAGACATTTGTTAAGTAGCACATTTATATTGTCATTGATGGCTTGAAGTAAAACAAATTTGCTATGTAGCACATGATTCAAGTTGTCACTGATGGCTAAAAGCTAGACATTTGCTATGTAGCACATGATTCAAGTTGTCACTGATGGCTAAAAGCTAGACATTTGCTATTTAGCACATGATTCAAGTTGTCACTGATGGCTAAAAGCTAGACATTTGCTATGTAGCACAGGATTCAAGTTGTCGCTGATTGCTAAAAGCTAGACATTTGCTATGTAGCACATGATTCAAGTTGTCATTGATGGCTAAAAGCTAGACATTTGCTATGTAGCACATGATTCAAGTTGTCATTGATGACTAAAAGCTAGACATTTGCTATGTAGCACATGATTCAAGTTGTCATTGATGACTAAAAGCTAGACATTTGCTATGTAGCACATGATTCAAGTTGTCATTGATGGCTAAAAGCTAGACATTTGCTATGTAGCACATGATTCAAGTTGTCATTGATGGCTAAAAGCTAGACATTTGCTATGTAGCACATGATTCAAGTTGTCACTGATGGCTAAAAGCTAGACATTTGCTATGTAGCACATGATTCAAGTTGTCACTGATGGCTAAAAGCTAGACATTTGCTATGTAGCACATGATTCAAGTTGTCATTGATGGCTAAAAGCTAGACATTTGCTATGTAGCACATGATTCAAGTTGTCATTGATGGCTAAAAGCTAGACATTTGCTATGTAGCACATGATTCAAGTTTTTATTGATGGCTAAAAGCTAGACATTTGCTATATGGCTACGGCATTTTGTGCAGTTTGCATTTGTCTCTGGGAATATAGATTGGAAGCAGTCTGTGTTTGAGATTTTCAGGTATATAGAAATATATTTTTGATTAGCCATTCACAAATATTTGGCCAGGTGCAAAACGGAGATGGTCTCCTCGCAGACAGAGCAGGAAATGACCCTGATGCTAGCATTGGATTCCAGCACGTAGGTTTCTTATTGGCTGTTGTCTTGGTCAGGTGATTGTGTGAATCAGTGACACGCTTAGTGGCACCATGGAGTCGATTCAAGTTAAGTTGTGTATCACTGACTGTTACAGTTGATCATCAACTTGATTAGTTCAATTGTACCATGGAGTCAAAGTTAAGTTGTGTATCATTAACTACATCATAATGCCTATATCATTGAGTAGATTAATCTTTCTGCCTTTGACTCTGTCATTATGTCTCTTTTGTAACATTGAGTAGATTTTTTTTTTAATCATTATATCTGTGTGTATCCATTAATAGATTTGTTTTTCTGTTGTAGACTGAGATATTGTCTCCTCAGTGTGCTAGCTGGTTGCTAGGTGTTTTTCATATCTAAAACATGGATGACCTTCTAAATGCACACAATTGGCAATGTGTAGACAAGATATCCGTTTGTATCATTTGTCAAACTTCCAAAGTTAATCGGGTCTAGTCAGTGTCTACTACTGGCTAGCAGTGTCCAACAAAAGATGACGATATTTATCAAGCACAGAATTGAAGTCTACTACCATTCACACTCTTTATCTTTTAGTCCTATTTCATTGCACACATTTTATACAGCATCTCTGATCATGGCTGTTAGACTCCAGTTGGATCTTGTTGGCTACCACTTCTGGTCAGGCTGTCATCTGGCTGTCCTCTCACGGAATAGAATCTCTTTCACATCTTCAGTTACAATGTCCAATTAACTGTATCAAATATGACCTTTCAGCCCAGCTGCCAGACACATGCTTCACTGTTTATTTTATGGTCTTCTTCATCGCACATCGGGTATGACCGTAAGGGTTCCAATCTTCCCCTGAGTATGTCAAAGTATTTTAGATTAACAACTTCCATTCTGTTCTGGTTTAGGTTTAACAATGGATCATCATGGCTTAAGGGTAGTAACTCATAAGTGCTCCGTTCTACTTCTTTCTCAAATCTGAGTCTGAATATTCTCAGCTCAGTGCACAAACTCTGTAGCACTGGTGAGAATCCTGAAATACTTTGGATAAATATTTAACTCCAAATTTTGCTCGGGCTGCAACGTTAGACTACTCTTTTCGATTTCCAACTGCCAATAGATTTTTCTACGTGTGCAACAATAAACTCAGGTGTCAGATCTTACTACCCAGAGACCAGGGGAGATTACTAGAAGTCCACTTGATTAAAAAAAATCCTAGCCTTCACCGAGGCCTGAATCTGGCACCTGGAGACCACGCAGCCCCCCTGGTTGATGTAACGACCGGTGGCACTGCTAGCCAGGGCATCTGCTCTCTCATGACTTTTCTCACCAACATGGCCCAGGACACTTGTGAAGGTGATTCTGCCAAACACTGAGTGTTGTATCAGATGGAGCCACTGTTTCTGTGTATGCCCCACCCTGGATCATCTGTAGCATGCTCATTGAGTCACCGAGCATGCATTAGTGGATCCCTGAGTTTTCAGCTGTTCTAGAGCCTTTGTTACAGCCATGACCTCTACTGTCAGCCATGACCTCTACTGTCAGCCATGACCTCTACTGACAGCCATGACCTCTACTGTCAGCCATGACCTCTACTGTCAGCCATGACCTCTACTGTCAGCCATGACCTCTACTTATGTTTGTAGGTTTTTTTTTCTGAGGTTACTATAGTTTCATTGAACTAATGTCAAGGTTATAGACTATCTACAAATGGCTGTGTAGAGTAAACTACAAGGGAATATTGTCTACAGGAAAAACCTGCAAGATTGTATCCACAAATACTTTGAGAAGACCGACGTGGAGATGAAATGTGGCAAGTGTGGTCAGGAGGAGAAAGCAACAATCACCAGGAAGATTGTGAGACGTCCAAGGTGAGTGGAATCTTGTGTGTTCTCTAACTAGTTGTCTGATATCCAAGGTGAGTGGAGTCTCATTTGTTCTCTAACTAGTTGTGATATCCAAGGTGAGTGGAGTCTCATGTGTTTTCTAACTAGTTGTCAGACATCCAAGGTGAGTGTGGAGTCTCATGTGTTTTCTAACTAGTCAGACATCCAAGGTGAGTGGAGTCTCATGTGATCTCTAACTAGTTGTCTGACATCCAAGGTGAGTGGAGTCTCATTTGTTCTCTAACTAGTTGTCAGACATCCAAGGTGAGTGGAGTCTCGTGTGTTTTCTAACTAGTAGTCAGACATCCAAGGTGAGTGGAGTCTCGTGTGTTCTCTAACTAGTTGTTAGACATCCAAGGTGAGTGGAGTCTCATGTGTTTTCTAACTAGTTGTCAGACATCCAAGGTGAGTGGTATCTCATGTCCCCATATACAAGGAGTGACAGATGCGGACATACAAATGGTGGGTGTGAATCTATTAATGTTTTCCATTGTCACAAAATCTATGAATGTTCACCATTGTTGAGTGATCAGTAATTATTTGCCATCGTCACATAATCAATGAATTTTTCCCATCGTCACATAATCAATAAATGTTTCGCATTGTCATGTAATCTATTAATGTTTCCCATTGTCACTTGGTCTTTGAAGGTTTTCCATTGCCACGTAATCTATGAATGTTTACCATTTCACGTAATCTTTAAATGTTTCCTATTGTCATGTAATCTGTGTGTTCACCATTGTTGTAATCTATAATTATTTCCTATTGCCACATAATCTATGAATGTTCACCATTGCCAGATAATCTGTCAATGTTTCCTATTGCCACATAATCTGTCAATGTTCACCATTGCCACATGATATGTGAGTGTTTCCTATTGTCACGTAATCTGTCAATGTTTCCTTTTGCCACATGATATGTGAATGTTTCCTATTGTCATGTAATCTATGAATATTTTCCGTTGTCATATAATCTATGAATGTTTTCCCTAGTCACATAATTAATGTTTCCTATTGCCACGTAATATATGAATTTTTCCCATTGCCACATAATCTGTAAATGTTTCCCCATGGTCACACAAATCTATAAATATTTCCCATTGTCATATAATCTATTAATGTTCCCCATTGTCACATAATCTATTAATTGTTCCCATTGTCATATAATCTAATAATGTTTCCCATTGTCACATAATCTGTGAATTTCCTTAGCCACATAATCTGTCAATGTTTCCTTTTGCTATGTAATCAGTGAATGTTTACAATCGCCACAATCTTTGAATGTTTTCTATTGCTATGTAATCTATATAATCAATACTCACCATTGTCACGTAATTATGAATGTTTTCCATTGTCATGTAATCTGTAAATTTTTCCTGTTGTCACTTAATTTATTAATGTTTTCCGTTGTCACGAAACAAGACTGTGGTGCCTTTGCTGTGACGACAAGCAGTTTGACTGCGACAATTAAAGCAATTTGCATAGCTTGAAACTACTTTTAATCAGGCCTGCTTTCTGACCGACTCCATGAATATGCTCAAGGTGGGGAGCCCTGTCCGTTGCTTATGTTTCCCATGTGAACATCAACTTGCAAGTCTGCAGCTCAATCTAAATATACTGAATGCCCTCAGACAGGCAGCTTGATTAAACAAGTCAAGTAATGATTGTCAATCTGCAACACTGACCTGACTACCCGAACATAACATCAAAAGGGATGCAGCCAGACAAGAGCACTACACAGGGGCACAAAGAAGAATAGTCAACCAACAACACTGACCAGACTACACGAACATAACATCAGAAGGGATAGAGCCAGACAAGAGCTCTACACAGGGGTACAAAGAAGAATAGTCAACCAACAACACTGACCAGACTACACGAACATAACATCAGAAGGGATGGAGCCAGACAAGAGCTCTACACAGGGGCACAAAGAAGAATAGTCAACCAACAACACTGACCAGACTACACCAACATAACATCAGAAGGGATGGAGCCAGACAAGAGCTCTACACAGGGGTACAAAGAAGAATAGTCAACCAACACAGAACTGCTGTCATAAGCCACTACACGCTGATGGAGATACTGAAGACAGGATCTGAGCACTTATGGACTGGATGGTTTGATGTGCGGCGATGATAAACTGTTCTAACAAACATAATCTATGAATGTTTCCCATTGTTACCTAATCTGTGAATGTTTCCCATTGTCACCTAATCTGTGAATGTTTCTTATTGTCACCTAATCTGTGAATGTTTCCTGTTGTCCGATGATTAATGTTGTAGGTGTTGTTGGGGGAATGTACCATAACCTGGAGATCACTACAATCCCTCCTATCATCTGGAAAGACGGAAAGGTGCCAATCACCTCCTATAATAATGATTGACAGAGATCGAAATAAAATGGCCTAGGTTGTCCTGATTGGTCCCTGAGTTCAGAGGATGGGAAGAAAGTTCATTAACAACTGACAACTCAAATAAATAGTATATGATTAATCCCTAGAATTGTCTGAATATGTAACTAGGACAAAACTTGTGAATAATCAAGTTGCAATATATTCATAATTGATCTTGAATTAGGGGAATCAAAAGTGTAAATCAATCAACAACAAAAATAATTAAAGCAAATACCAGTTAAATCAGAAAGTTTGGCTATACTCATTAAAATGTATTTATTGAGACAACCCATTCAGAATATCCCCTTCAGTTAGACAACAATGCAACTTTTCATCCTTTAACACACACCATTATACAAAAACATTCAACTTTTCATCCTTTAACACACACACCATTAAACAAAAACATTCAACTTTTCATCCTTTAACACACACCATTATACAAAAACATTCAACTTTTCATCCTTTAACACACACCATTATACAAAAACATTCAACTTTTCATCCTTTAGCACCATTATACAAAAACATTCAACTTTTCATCCTTTATCACACACCATTATACAAAAACATTCAACTTTTCATCCTTTAACACACACCATTATACAAAAACATTCAACTTATCATCCTTTAACACACACCATTATACAAAAACATTCAACTTATCATCCTTTAACACACACCATTATACAAAAACATTCAACTTTTCATCCTTTAACACACACACCATTATAC